ATGTAACACTACACGTTGACCTTTTTCTAATCTCTAAGCAACAAAAGATTGCCACTATCAAGTTATTGATCGATGTACTTAAAATAATTAGAAATAAAATTTATTCTTATTAAAACTTACATCAACCAAAACAAGTAGAATAATATGAAAATTAATATTATGATATATTTATAAGTAAATATTTATATACTTTGCAATAAGAAAAAAATTTATCAAGGTCATAGTTTAATTTAGCACAGGCTTAATGACGCTGTCATATTGTTAATAGCATTAACATATATGGATGTCGTGGTCATCATAAAATAATTATAGCTTTTAAATTTTATAGAAATGATAAAAAATAAATAGATATATAGCATTCACATCGTCATTTGAAATTAAATTTGATAATATTTTTTTCCCGTTGCAGCGCACGGGCATATTTGCTAGTCATAATCTAAAATAGTAAACATTTGATATTTCTCCAATTTATACGTATATATCAGTGCAATCCACGGTAAGGGCTGGAACTTGATATTTTAACTCTACCAATAAATGAATACTATGTAAATAGTTTTGTGGCTTGTAACGGAAGATTTTTTTTATCAAGGTAGTATTTTAACTTGATATAGACTCAATGAAGTAGGACATTGCCATATATATTATTGCAAATGCAAACTTATTATGGATGTCATGGACATCAGAAATTATAGTTTTTAAATTTTATGAAATAGTAAAATAGAAATAGATATGTAATATTACCGTTGTTGTTTTTATAAATATTTGACTATTTTTTCTCCCGTTGCAACGCACGGGTATATTTGCCAGTAAAAAAAGAAAAAAGAACGAAATTTAATTAGCCATAGGCCTTTCTTTAACGGTTGAACTTCCACCGCCGATCAATCGAACTGTAGGGACCAAACTAATAGTACTAATTGGAACAAAATAATGGGAAATTATGTGCGGTGTCGTGGTGTAGTTGGTTATCACGTCAGTCTAACACACTGAAGGTCTCCGCTTCCAATCCGGGCGACGCCAATTTTTAGTGGTCTCAATTTCTTTTTAATTACTACTTGTTTTTATTCCTTATTAGTAGTTAATACGAATTGGGCTGGGCCAAACAACATTACTGCCCACGGCTTGTGGGCCTTTTTTTTTGTCTGCCGAGCCCTCAGAGGCGCAGACGAGTGAATTACAGTTTATAAATGGTTAATATAGTAGCCATCCACGGGCTACCCAGCAAATGCACAGTTCGAAAAAAAGCAACAATTATAAGACAGTAATCCTGTTTTCTGTGAAAGAAAACATACAATAGATATCGATTCCACTGCTCATCAGTTTATGATCGTGTCATCACCGTGTGATTGTAAGATGTGCAAAATTGTCTATATACAGCACGAATCAAGATTTAGAAAACACAGTGGCAACTATCAGGACCTGCTAGTTAAGATTCTTGAGAATTTGGACAGCGGCAAGTCTACAACTCAGAGGATGGATGAATAACTACTTCTGTCAGCTATGTCATCGGAACTTAGAAAGAACTGATCGCCTCTTTCAGGAGTGCACATTCTCCGGGAAGAAACGGCTTGAGGCCCAGCAGCTGACAGGCATCGAATGGACTAAAACCACGGTTCAGTGACCTCGCATCACTGGAGCCTCCATCAGCAAAATCACGAACGAGATCACTTGCTCTTCTTGTGGTCTGGTCAATCTAGGAGGAGAGAAACAACAGAGTTTTTGGCAGGGTTCAAAGAACTGAGCAGCAGACTTTCGGTGACTTAGGCGACGAGGCTCGATCATGGTGTTTAGCAGAGAACAAAAGATCTGGAGCACATCTTGCCGGTGTGCTGGACGAGCACATCTTGCCTGCAGATGTAGCAAACAGCAAGATCTTCTTCTAGACCGACCCTTAATTTTCTTTCTTATCAATCTAACCTTAAACTGCCAAATGTCCATAGGGTCATCATAGGCACAGGGAGTTTCCCAAACTTTTTTCACTAAATTCTTAAAATCTGTTTGCTCAAGCCACGATTTCTCAAATCTAAAAATTCTAGATTCTAGATTCAAGATCAAAGGGACATGGTCACTGCCCACTCTAGCCTTAGCAGTCACAAAGGCTAGGGAGGGACTTCTGTTCAAAGGTAGTTGTGCAAAAAAAAATTATCTAAGGCTGCCATAATAGGTTGGTCTTGATTATTTGTCCAAGTATAAGATCTAGTAGAGTTCTTAAGTTTAATCAGACCCATTTATTTATCAAATCCAGAAAGTTATCAGCCAATTTCTGGTGGGTAAAGTCCAATTTACACCCTCCAACTTTCACCAAAGTCCGGATTTCAACCTCGAACTTCAAAACCGGATAACTTTGGCCCTCCAACTCTTGAAACCGTTCAACTTTCAACCTTCTGGGCGGTTTTGAGGGTGAACAGTAACTTTTGATATTTTCGGGAGGTGCCGAAATTTTATATTATTTTTTCGAGCATTAAGGCGCCTCCCGAAAATATCAAAAGTTACTGTTCACCCGCAAAACCGCCCAGAAGGTTGAAAGTTGAACGGTTTCAAGAGTTGGAGGGCCAAAGTTATCCGGTTTTGAAGTTCGAGGTTGAAATCCGGACTTTGGTGAAAATTGGAGGGTGTAAATTGGACTTTACCCATTTCTGGCTGACCTGACCATTACTTTTTTCTCTAGCTGTAGTCACAATATTAAAGTCACCACCAATTACTGTTGGGCCATCCCAGTTATCTAGGAGCCCCTCTAATTCCAGCGAGAAATCCATTTTACCCTCCTTATAAGGGGAGCCATATACCACTATTAGTCTCCAGAAAAATTATCCTGGCAATTTTTAATGATCCCAGCTATAAACTAAAAGAGCCATTTTTTCAGGCTATTACCTCAAACTTCTTCTCATTTAAGCCTGCCAAGATACCACCAGCGGTACCATTGGCAGGTAGAACTTGTTAGATAAAACCCTTGTTAACATACTTAAGAAAAGAGTCGTTAAAAGATTCCTTCTTAGTTTCTTGGAAACCCACAAAGTCTAATCTATTACCATTCACAAAACCAATGGTTCTTTGTTTTGGGCGTTGCCTGTAGAGACAACTTGAGCCCAAGACTGTCTAACCAGTTCACTTTTTTCCTTTAAAGGAGCTTGGTTTTCAGCATTCAAAGCTGGAAAATCAATAGCTATTTCTTCTAAGTTCAGATCCCCAGGAAGGTTAACCTCAGGGTTAACACACCAGTAATCAATCTTCCAGCACTGGTTGTCACACTCGGACCAATGCCTGAGAGTCTTCAGGCACTGGTTGTCGCACTCGGACCAATGCCTGAGAGTGACATTGGTGCCATTGTTCTTGTCATCCAGGAAGGCGTGGAAGTTGAGGTTGATGCTGTCCAACGGGCGGATGCACCGGAAGCCATGCCCCACATCACAGCTCTCCGTCCACAACACCGACTTGTCCACGTAGTTCGGATTGTACGGCACGAGCTTCACTTTTGGAACATAATAAACAAGCAAGAAAAGAAAACCTTGATCAGTTAAGCCTGCGGTGTGGTGTGATGATCAAATAAAGATCTGACAAAGGTGCACATATAGTTGCTTACTGCAGGGTGGTCTGTTGATGAGAGAGCGTTAATGCGTATCGGTTTGGTACCGGAGAAGAACTTGATGGCCTCGCCACTGAATCTGTTGATGAGAGCGAATGCGGGATAGCCTTCCTCGTCCTTGATTCTGTTTCCGTACCTCGTGTCCTTGATCCAGTGCTGGTACTTTGTCGGCAGGGTTGCTGGGCACGAGGCGGACAGCACCGTTGCGGACTGCGAGGCTAAAGCACTGGCCATGCTTGTATCTAGGTAATGGAACAGTAAACGCGATAGGCATTTGCCTGTACCGTTCAGCTTACAGGTAATCCAGCGATGCATTCTAAAACAACTGCGATCAGGTGTGAGATATCGAGACAGCACATATATATATTACACAAGGCATAAAGAGTGTTCATATAGTACTTAGTCTTACACGAGGCAGGCCTATACTGACACGTTAGATGTCTAAGCAGTACATATATTTTACATAGAACAGTCTTAGGACAAAAGACAAAGAAGACATACACTGCAAGATAGCACAACATAGCATACTGCATACAGCAGAAGTCATAGTAGCAAATGATGAGATGTAGCCCCTAAGGAAATTGGCATCTGCTTGAGAGGCTGCCCTGATCTCCAATGCCATAGGAGCACAATACTTAGCACATGTCATAGGAGCACAGGGTTAGCCATAATATTTAAGGGAAGTAGCTACTGCACTTGAGCTTCTCCTGATCTTGGTTATGAAATGTCACTGTATTGAAGCCTTGGATTCTAACTGAATATCAGCTCTATGCTGCTGCTCATAAGCTTCTTCAAGGATCTCCCTATCCACGTCGAATTCTTCTGCTAGTATACATAAGTGAGAAAAAGTGTTCATTGAAGTAAACTGGCAGCGAGAATGGTAAATGACGATATAAGATGATGGGTTAATTGACACCATCATCGTAATTCTTTGAGTTTGAAATATACCATTGCTATTCGCGATATTGTAAATATGCCATTACAATTCCCTGTGAAACGTGATTCATGCCATTAAGTATCCTTTTAGGTGTTCGTATACGGCAACATTTTTCATATGGCCCGTATTGCCCCTGCCTCATCCTGACTTACACGAGCTGGACAGGGAGTCAAGTTGCTCGCTTCGCTTTCTCTCTCTCGCTCTCCTCTTGGTCTCTCCCGTCCCAAACCCTAACCCACGCAAGGCGGGCGGCGGGCGAAGTTAGCGGCGGCGGCGGCAGCGCGTAGTCGGCTCGACGCGGCCTTGCAGTCAGGCAAAGGTGGGACGGAGGCTCCGCAGGACTCGGATTCAGCAATGACGGAGCAAGATTCAATGAGGACGCGTTCCAAGTCTCGCACATCGATTCGAGTCCATGGTCGTGGCTTGAGCAAGATGGTAGGCTTCTCATGACCGGCGACCCGTGTGGGAGCGGTTAAATGCGCCATGGTGGGCAACAAGGCCAGTAATCGCTTAACTCCCGCAAAATCTTCTATCGGTATGACTAGAGAAGTTGTGGATGGACCCATTTTGCCGTGGATTTCCCCTTACATTTCCATTCTTCGTGCTAGGCCTGAGTTGTCCATGCTAGAGATTAAAGTTCAAGGTTTCAGCACCATAGACTCCCTAGGTAGGAAAGCATACAAAAAGGCATTTCTGATTAAGTGGGAGGTGGACATAGGTGCTTTAACCGTAGACTTGTTGATGAATGTTTTAGCCAAAGAGGTGCAATGGTCATCTCGGCAGTGTGGTAGATTGTGGTTCTTTGACAAGAATTTGGGAGAAGATGTCCGATTAGTGAATGACAGACACTTGCTAGATATGTTTTCTATGTATAAGGTTGAGATGTGTTGCCAGGTCTTGGTAGGTGTATTTGACAATTCAGTATCTACTGCTGATGACTATGCTGAGCTAGAACCTCTGTGTGTGATTCCTCTCGATGATGACCAACCTAGCCAAGTGAATCCACCACATAAGCCAGAGGCCCCTGAACCCAAAAAACACAATATAGAGGCTCCTAAAGCCACAAAAAACATGCTAGAACCTACTGAAACTACAACAAAGGAGCCAGACTTTGAGCCTACCAGGGAGCCAGACATGTTTAATAATGAAGAGGAGTACGTGGGCGTTGATGATGAACACATCTATATCTCAGTACCACCTGCACAACCAACCACAAATGCCACTGTAACACAACCAGTTGATGACAATTCTGATTATATTTCTGCTGAAGGAGGTGTTCCTGTTGAGGCAGAAGTTAATGATACAGATCCTCAGGAGATAAATGTCCTTCATGTTCCAGACAATCCCAATATTGTGAAAGGTGCCTTGTTTCCTGATATCATAGCATTCAGGAAAGCTGTGAGGCACTATGCTGTGATCACTGGATTTGAATTTGTTGATCTGATGACTGACAAGACCAGGTTCATTGCCAAGTGCAAAGCTGAGGGCTGCCCATGGAGAATACATGCGTCAAGGATTCATGATGGCAAAACAATAGAGGTACAACCTGTGTATTCTTATTTTTGTATTCTAAACTATTTTTGGTACATTTTTGTAACATGTATTTTTCTATTCAATTTTGTTGCAGATAAAAGTATTGCCTGCTGAGCATAACTGTCCTACAAAGCCAAGAGAAGGAAAAATGGCAACACAAGACTGGTGTGCTAGCAGGTTGATAGAATGGCTTAAGAAAAATCCAAACAAAGGTGCCAAGGATGCTAGGGACAAACTGGAAGATGATTACCGCATCAAGTTGAAGTATTCTAAGGCATGGGCAGGTATAAAGCTAGCTCTTCAGCACATACATGGTAAATATGAGGAAAGTTTTCAATTGTTGTTGAATTGGAAAGCACAAATGGAGCTTAGTTCACCAGGAAGCATTGTAGAAATAGAGGTAGAAGGGAATAAGAAGCAGATGTTCAAAAGGATTTTTGTAGCCTTAAAGCCTTATGTAGATGGATTTTTGGTAGGTTGCAAACCATTTGTAGGGGTAGATGCCACATGCTTAAATGGTAAATACATTGGGCAGTTGGCTTCAGCTACTGCTGTAGATAGGCACAACTGGTTGTATCATCTGGCTTACGCCATTTTTGACTCAGAGATAGAGGACAATTGGAAATGGTTTATGGAGCAATTGCATAAAGCTATAGGATCACCTAAAGGCTTAGTGATCTGTACAGATGCTTGTAAAGGTTTAGGAAGTGCAGTGGGAGCAGTGTTCCCATAAGCTGAGTACAGAGAATGCACGAGGCACTTGTATTCAAATTTCATGAAACACTATCAGGGAGACGTGTTCACTGATCATTTGTACCCAGCAGCAAGAAGCTACATAGAGGGGCTGTTCAAGTGGCATATGAAGAAGATATTTGATCGATGTTGCACCAGATGCCATAGAATTCCTGGAGCAGCATCACAATAGACTGTGGTACATATGTGGGTTTTTAGAGAAGAGTAAATGTGACTACTTGACCAACAATGTATCTGAGAGCTTTAATGCTCAGATCAGGCACATGAAAGGACTGTTGCTGCACGAATTGGTTGATGGCCTGAGAGAGCTCATCATGGAGAAGAGGTTTTTGAGGAGGAAGATTGCTAGGAAAATGCTTGACGGTATACTCCCTACTGTCATGAAGGAGTTGAATGCTATCAGCAATAATCTCAAAGTGGTTAAGGTATCAAGTAGTGATGAAGACATGGCCGAAGTGACACTTCTGGACAACTAGAACAATCAGATGAGACACACAGTTGATCTCCAACATCATTCATGTTCATGCATAGAGTGGCAGCTCACAGGCAAGCCCTGCAAGCATGCATTAGCTTGGATATTGTCCAATAGGGGAATGAAAATAGAAGACTATGTGCATGAATATTATTCTATAGCAAGATTTAGGGTTGCTTATGAAGGAAGAGTAGAGCCTTTTTCCGACATGAACACGGTGGCTGTGTGGTGGATCTTGGGTTCACAATATTTCCACCCTTGATAGGAAGACCAGTAGGCAGACCAAGAGTACAGAGAATTAGGGGCTGTCTTGAAGGGAAAGCGAATAATAAAAAGGTGAAGTGCAAAAGGTGTGGTGACTTCGGCCACTTTGCCAAGACTTGCAAATTTGCTGAGGTCTACTCCGATGGAGAAATTGGGGGTAGATCACAGAACAAGAGGTTAGTGACTCATTCTCAAAGCATTTCTTGTGCATTCTATACTGAACCTAGTGCTAACCACTATACTATGTAGGAAACGGCAAGAAGATGACACTGCTGGGCCGTCAGAGGTGAAGAAGAAGAAGAAGGTAGGACAAAAGAAAAAAAGAGCCCCAAAAGGAAGAAGACGCCCAAGAAGAAGAAAACTCCAGTGAAAAAAAGCAACAGTATGGGTGGTGTCCACCACCATCAAGGTAATAATCATCGTGTGCCCGATGATCCTTATGCTAAGATTAAGTTCACAATACCATCTTTTTCAGGTCATAATGATGCTGAGGGATATCTTGATTAGGAGATGATGGTAGAACAAAAGTTTAGTGCCCACCTTGTGCCTGAGCAACATAGAGTTCGACAAGCTACTAGTGAGTTTAAGGACTTTGCCATTATTTGGTGGAATGGGCTAGCTGCACAGAATGCTTTACCTGGTACGTGGGAAGAACTTAAGATGGCTATGCGTGATCGTTTTGTTCCTCCTTCTAATCATAGAGACTTGCGTAAGAAATTGATGCATTTAGAACAAGAAGAGAAATATGTACAGGATTACTATGGTGAGCTCCAAAAGGGATTGATGCGTTGTAGTGTTGTAGAGGGGAACGAAGATTCCATTTGTCGTTTTTATTTGGGTTTGAGGCACGAGATTCAGGACATTGTTGATTATAAAAGAATTTCACATTGTCAACCGATTGTTTCAGTTCGCTATGCTTGCGAAAAAGGGATTGCAGGGCGTGAACAATGAGCAAGAGCAAGGTCAAGACCACATACACGCCATGCTTGGCACCATCTTTGGGGCTGACCAAGCCAACCACTTTTCGGGCACCCCCACCAAATGAGCAAGCGACCAACACCTCTGGAGTTACTACTACACCTAAGGCACCTCCTGCACGACCTTCAGATTCGGTAAAAAATTCTTTGTAGGTGCTTGCCAAGAGTGCCTCATCCGTTGCATCGACGGGACGCACTTTGGGCATTCAAAGTCACCGCCGCCATGGAATTGGCCATGTGTAGAAGGACTGCCCCAAGTCAACCGGCATACATTGCTATAGAAGATGGTTACATCAGCACCTCCGACATTGAAGATGAAGAAGACAAAGATACAGATGAGGGAGGGTGGCCAAGTCCTTGGTGATGAGGCCACGGTGGCCTATAGGAGCATCATTGTATAGCGGGTGCTCAACACATAAGTCTGACAACTGAGAAGCTACAACGCCATAACTTGTTCTAGATTTTCTTCACATCAAGAACCGTCGAGCATGTGTCATTATTGATGGAGGTAGCTCCAATAATTTGGTGAGTTCTGATTTGGTCAAGAAGCTTGGCTTGACCACACGCCCACTTGCCACCACGTCCATACCATATTCAGTGGCTAAATGATTATGGAAAAGCAAAGGTAACACAAACTTGCAAAGTTTCATTTTTCATTGGTTCTTATGCTGATTCTGTTGATTGTGATGTGGTACCTATGCAAGCATGTTCACTCTTATTGGGTCATCCTTGGAAACATGACAATGATGCTACACACCATGGTAGAAGTAATAAATACACTTTTGTGCATAAAGGAAAGAAAATTACTTTGGTACCTTTGACCCCTGCTCAAATTGTACAAGTCGATAGAGAACGCTACCGCTAGTTTCAATGATGTTCAATCTGAAAATCAGCAAGTTGCTAATTCTATTCTCCCACCTAAAAAGGATTAATCTACATCTATTTCTAAGGCCGAGGAGATTAAATTGAAGGGTGGTGTTATGCTTGCAACAAAATGTGACTTTGCTAAAATTTCTGATGATGATATTTTCTATGCTTTGGTATGCAAACAAGCTATGTTTTCGCTTGATGATATATAAGCTAGTATGTAGAAGATGGGATCCCGATCGGAGGCCCTTATGTAGGGTCGAGATGGCGACTAGAGGGGGGTTAATAGTCATTTCTAAAACTTAATCACGTCGGCTAACTTGAAACAAGTGCGGAATTAAAACTATCGGTCTAGCCAAGACTACACCCTCTATCTATGTTATCTAGCACCTTGCAAAGATCCTAATTAAGCAACAAAGGTGTCGGGCTAGCTAAAGCTCACCTAACCAATTCTAAGAGCAAGGTCACACAAACCTATGCCACTAGTATTTCAAGCAATGAGGGAGCTCCTACACATGCTAATAAGCAAAAGCACAAAGCCAACTAAGCTCACTAGCAATGCTCAATAACAAGGCAACCAATGCCAAATTAGAGAGCGCAAATACTTAGCTACACGAACTAAGCAAAGTGATTAACAAGGTTACACAAACTAAATTAGCTACGCAAGGGAGCTACTTCTATGCTACACAAGCAAGAAGGTAACTAGTGAGCTACACAAGCTAACTAATTATAAGAGCAACTACACAAGCACAATGTATATAAAAGTAATCACAAGCTTGTGTAAGGGGATTGCAAACCAACGGGAAGAACAAGGTTGATACAGTGATTTTCTCCCAAGGTTCACGTGCTTGTCAACACGCTACGTCCCTGTTGTGTCGATCGCTCACTTGGAGGTTCGGTGGCTAATTGGCATCACCCACCAAGCCCGTAGGTCGGGCACCATAAGAACCTACCCCGAAAGTGAGGGTAGCTCAATGACACGCTCAACTAGAGTTGCTCTTTGCAGCTCCCGCGGGGCGAGCACAATGCCCCTCACAAATCTCTTCTCTGGAGCACCGCACAAGCTTCTTGCGGGCTTCGACGGAGACCACCACCAAGCCATCTAGGAGGTGGCAACCTTGAAGAGTAACAAGCACCACCGGCTTGCAACTCGATCACCTAGTGCCACTCGATGCAATCTCACAATGCAACGCACTAGAATCACACTCACTCGCAATCGATTCGCACTCTTGCAAGCACAAGTGAGTTAGAGGGCATCCAAGCACTCCTACACCAACCACATAGGCATGAGGGTGCTGAGCTACCAGCCCAAGGCCAGCCACACACTCCTTTTATAGCCTCAAAGGCTAAAATAGCCGTTACCCCTTCACTAGGCAAAGCGCGTACTGACCGGACGTGTAGGTCATAACGACCGGACGCTGGAACCCAGCGTCCGGTCACTTACAAAGAGGTTCCAATGACGTTTTTCAGCGACCGGATGCGTTCGGTCATCACTGACCAGACTCTCCCAGCATCCGATCGCTTTTAGACACGCTAAAACACTGACCGAACATTGTGACTGGACTCGCAGGTGCTGACCGGACGCAGACCCTTAGCGTCCGGTCGTTTTTCGCGCTAGCGTTCGGTCACAGACCCTTCAGCGCTAAAACGGCTATAACTCTTAGCTCCGAACTTCGATTTCGATGATCTTGGACATTTTGGAAAGCTTACTCAAAGGGCTACACATCCCACATGCATACTTGATCCAAATCACAATGGATCAAAGCAGTATTCCAATCCAAGTACCATCCTATAGTTTGGTGTACATCGAAAAACATTTTTGTCTCCTCTAAGTTGATTCACAACAACTCTAACTTCTTCTCCTTTGCAAATGTGCCAGCACCACCAAGTGTGCACCACCATGTGTATGTGTGTTAGCTTTTCACAAACATTTTCCAAAAGATTAGTCACTCAACTTGCCACGCCACTTGATCCTAGTGATGATGGAAAGTTAGATCACTCGAGTGGCACTAGATGACCGATATGCAAACAAGTTTGCCTCTCTTGATAGTATGACCATCTATCCTAAACCTGGTCATCAACTTCTCTACACACCTATGACCGGTGAAATTAAATGCCCTAGGTTATACCTTTGCCTTGCGCATTTCATTCCATCTCCTCCAATGTCGATGCAACACATGCACCAACATGATCAACAATGATATCATATCATCATGTGATCATATTGGTTCATTGATCTTGACTTCACTTGCTTTTCACCATTGCCTTCGTCCATCAGCGCCAAGTCTTGCTCAAGCTTCACCGCCATGCAGTCCATCGCTCCAAAGCCTCCGACTTGCCCTTCACACTTGCAACCGGTCCATCAAGCCAAGTCTTGTCTTGATCTTCTCCACCTTGATCACATGACTCAATATCACGTCTCATGTGCAATAAGCTCCTTCATCATCACAAGTGTGAGCTTTGCAACATCTCCAAACCATTTTCACCTTTACGGCATATGTTGCTCACACACATGTACTTGTGGACTAATCACCTGTGTATCTCACATAAACATAATTAGTCCACCTAGGGTTGTCACTCAATTACCAAAATCACACAAGGACCTTTCACCTTACCCCTCCTTATATATAGTCCTGGGTGTAGGGTTACAATAGATCCGATCGGCTAACAGATGGGTTTCCTAGTTTGTTACATAGAATGCGCAACAGAATGATTCTATCCTATTGCCTAGATATGATGGCACGTTGTATATGCTCTGAATGACTTGATCTCCAAGCTGATGGATTCGCTTGGCCTTTATGGGCCTCATCCCTCGTCATATTCGGCCCGGTAGACATGCATGGATCGGTATCTGGTGGTGAAGGTACCTCTGGCCCATATATATATATCGGAGGTG